CCTAGGTATTTCCGCCCTATCTCAACAACACTACCTAGTAAGGTTTGAACCTCCCCTTATCCCTGTTCTTCTTCTCCTTGCGAGATCCCTTTGCAGCTTCCTCCGCCTGAGCAGCCCCCTCCCCTTCAGGCTTCCACGCACGAACGAACCCATCCTCACCGCAAGTGAACACAGAGTGCGACTGTAGTAGGTATTCGTCAGCCAATCTACCCAATCCCATACACCTAGAATCTGAAAGAAGATACATACCTTCTCATCAACAAGAACGGACCGCACAACCTCCTCGCCATGCGCCCCGGGCAACCTCCACACCCCCTCCTGATCGAATCTCCAAGACGGCTCCGAAATGAGGGGAACGAGGTCGAGACGGTTTTCCCTGTAGGATTTCTTAATACATCTTTCCAAGCAGGTAAGGGAAAAACCAGATTGTCTGTGAAGGGGGGAAAACTTACTCCTTATTTCCCGCAGCCACATACGCCCCTTGACCGCCCACACACAACTGCGCAATATATTCACACCCTAACGGCTGCCGCAGATCGCCGAATTGAATGGGGCTCGGCTCCTGGGTAGGATCGTCGGGATCAGTCGCTGGGTGCACGGAGAATACCTCGTCGTGGCTGAGTGCGTAGATGGTGTTGTTGCTGAGGAAGCCGGCGTGGTGCACGGAACCGTGGTTGATTACTTGTACCAGGGCCTCGTCCTCGTCGGTGATGGTCGTGTTGTAGATGTTGACGAGACCGTCGGTGCTTCCAGAGAGGAAGAGGGTGGGGCGTGTGGGGTGGTATTGGAGCTGGGTTGGGTGTCAGATTTTTGAATGGAACGATGGGATAGGATGGTATGGGGTGCTTGATGAGAAGGGGGTTGGGGTATGAATACCTCTGTTACGTCGTCATTGTGGCTCTCGACGTATTGGAGACTTGTTTGGCCAGGGGATCTTGTGTCCCTGGGGCGTCAGTTAGCAGCTCGTGAATTTCAAGTTGTGGGTGGCCGTGCCCTTGTTGGTGGATAGACTAAAAGGCCTAGGCAGTGGAATGTCGGTGATTGACTCACCAAAAAGCGACTATGGCTTGGGATGAAACCAGCTCAGTTCCAGCTGCGACTCCGTTGACTTCGGGGCAGCAGGCGACGGATAGTATGGGGGCTTGCTTGGCTGTTAGGGAAGGTTAGCTACGATCCCCATGAAGAATGGATGCAGTGAATAGCAGAATTGAGAATATGGGGCGGGGGACAACTTACATGTCTCCATCTCTACAACAGCAGTCTTCTTGCCGCTGCGCAGATCCCACAGCTTTACTTTGTTGTCTCTTCCTGCCGTAGCCAGCACCTGCTGGTTAGCATCGTATGTCTTCAGAGATGTGACGCCCTCATGAGCGCTCGCCGCGATGACAGATGCATGATCGAGCCTGTTAGCGTCGAATACGCGAAGCGAATCATCCGATGAGATCACTGCGAATGATTCCGGCGAAGCAGGCGCAATCGCATAGATGTAATGACCCTCCGCCAGGGAGAGGGAGGAAGATGCAGTGGCCTTGAGCGTGTGCATAGTTATGAAGACAAAGACTTCTTGATAGAGGATACTGTCTCAATGGCGCTTCCTGAAGGGGAGTTTAGCCTCTAGTATATCATCGATAGACCTGTCTCAAAAAGGGTTCTACTAACAACGTGATATCTATGTTGGCCTTTACTGAAAATGAAAACTTTTATTGGCAGAGCGAATCCAATGATCAGAGTACGTGGATGACCCAACCTTGGGATATTGCCGTGTTCCCGGTGGCTGAATCTGATGGATTTGTCGCTGCCAAGCCAAGAAGGGATTCCCGCCGAAATTTTTGCGCAAAAGCGTTTTATGCCTTACCTAACGGGCATCAACTCCCTTACGGCACATAGTGGAACCCGAAAGCCTCCCAATACTCTCTTCTCATTGGTCTGATGAAGAACATTTGATTCAGGCTTTCTATTGGCTGTCCATACTTTACTTCCTGTTTCTGCAATGCGGGGTCGTGGTACTATAAATTTGGATGTTGCTCTCATGGCAATGGACCATAGCTTGAGATCCGACTCTCATGCCCCAGAAACTTTACCTTTGCTATAAGGATAGTAATATATATGCATTCAGAGACACACTTGTTCTTACGGCTGTATAATATCGCATTCACATTCTGTGACCTTGGATACATATTACATCATTTCCCTTTGATATCATTTCTACTTTACTTCTCACCTCAGAATGAAATCCGATTATTCGCTCAGGACATCGTTTTGGAAACAACATGTAGAGTACCACTCCAAGTACCCAATCCAGCAGTACATCCCTATATTAAATCCTTTTTGGCCCTTTGCGAGGCACAGCGTAGCACAAACCAACATTGATGGGCTATAGCACCTTCGCAACATGTTTACGGTTCAGTGACACTTTCACCACACATTTTTCAAGATTAAAAACAATAAAAATAAAAACACGTCCCCACAACACCATGATCGGATTTTCCACTTTGATCACCCTGCACACTCAGTCATGCAACAACAGCCCTGCTGCATCTGCCGCCCCCGATTCCGGAGAAGTATCCGAGATAGCGATAAGGAAGCGGAGATAAGACTGGCAAATGGAGATGCGAGAGATATCCTCGGCGCCAGAAGTAGACCCGATGATAAATAGTGAGAAGGTCCCCCGCCCTTCTCCAGCTGAACCACACTTCAACATGCCAGGTGCACGCTCTATTGTTCTGGCCTTACTGCCAGTTCTTCTCCTGCTTTTCGCCCAGCAACTCGCCTCCCATCCAACCGAGCAGATTCAAGCTATCCTCGCTCCGTGGGTCCCAACAGCACTACAAGATGTCGTGCTCTTTAGTCGACCTCGCGTCATCATTGCACAGGGCACTGTTGTCGGTACCACCTTGACAGACACGCTTAAAACCCCGGTGGACGCTTTTCGAGGAATTCCTTATGCATTGCCTCCAATTGGGGATAGACGGTTCCGCCGCGCGGTGGCTGTCAATGCGTCGGACGACATTATCAATGCTACTGATTTCGGCCCGAGGTAGGCTTCCCCTTTGTATACTATACCAACATCCTGTTTAATCGCTTCTAGGTGCCCTGGGAAGCAACTCTTGAATCCGAAAGACATAGGTGGCGATGAAGACTGTCTCACAGTCAACGTGTTCCGGCCTCATGGTGCCCAGGGAAAGCTCCCAGTTGCTGTATACGTGCACGGAGGCGCCTACAACCGTGGTACTGGTGAGTGCAAATCCCTCCAATCACCTCCTATGCACCGCTAAATACGCAGCCTCCGGACATAACACGGCCTCGATGGTCGGCTGGTCCGATGAGCCCTTTGTTGCCGTCAGCTTCAACTACCGGTACGTATATCAACCTTTCCCCAATCCAACCCGACCACAACTAACAGAACATCAGTATCGGCGCCCTCGGCTTTCTCCCCTCGACACTGACCGCCAGAGAAGACATCCTCAACCTAGGCCTGCACGACCAAATCCTTCTTCTCCAATGGGTCCAAGACAACATCGCGCATTTCAACGGCGACCCAACCCAAGTCACTTTAATTGGCCTCTCCGCCGGCGCACACTCCGTAAAACACCCCTGTCCCCTTCCATCTGCCCTTCACAACCTCTCCCCAACTAATACCCTACCTCCCAGATTGCCCACCACATTATGGACCACACCCCCGACCAAAATACCACCCCCCTCTTCCACCGCGCCATCATCGAATCTGGCGCTGCTACCTCCCGCGCCGTGCACCCGTACAATGCCTCCCTCCACGAAATCCAATTTGCCGACTTCCTCACCTCAACCGGCTGCACCAATCTCCCCAACGACACAGCAATCCTTCCTTGTCTGCGCGCCCTTCCATCCAAAACCATAACATCCGCCTCCATCGCCGTCTTCGACAAATATAACCCGTCTATCCGCTGGGCCTTCCAGCCCGTCATCGACCACGAGATCATCCACCGCCGGCCCATCGACGCATGGCACTCGGGCCAGTGGAACAGAATGCCGATTCTTACAGGATTCAACACAAATGAAGGAACCTACTACGTCCCTCGCAACCTATCCCTCTCGGAGGACTTCACCTCGTTCTTCCGAACCCTGCTCCCCGCATACCCCGAGAGTGACATACAACTCATCGATGAGATATACCCCGATCCAAACATCTACGCCTCGGCATCGCCATATCTAGAGACGAGACCAATCGCGGAGCTAGGAAGGCAATACAAGCGCCTCGAAGCGGCGTATGGACATTACGCGTATGCGTGTCCAGTACGGCAGACGGCGGGGTTCGCTTCTGCTGATTCTACTGCTAATCAGCCGGTGTTTTTGTATCGCTGGGCGTTGAATAAAACCGTCATTGGGGGCGCGAATCACGGGGATCAGATGGAGTATGAGACGTTTAATCCGGGGGTGCGGGGGATATCGGAGGCTCAGAGGGAGGTGGCGGGTTTGTTCCATGCATATTTAACTTCATTTGTGGTGTACGGGGATCCGAATGTTCTGGGGGGCAGGTATGAGGGGAGGGAGGTGTGGGAGAGGTACAGTGCGGATTCCGGGGAGGGGCTAGGGGTTGGGAAGGTGATGGTATTTGGGGAAGGGAATGATGAGCGGGCTGGCGGGGATGGGGTTGGAGTTGCGGCGGGGTTGAGGAGGGATGAGTGGGGAGTGAGGGAGTGTGCGTTTTGGGCCGCGAGGAGTGGGATTTCGGAGTGAGGGCTTATTAAATTATAGCTACGACGTGATGTGGATGAGACTGTAGGAGTAGTTTGCAAAAGAGGGTCGGTGTACTCGTTTATGTACACTGAACCCTCTGAAAATACTACTGAAAGCATCCATATTGTTCAATTCGTCGATATCGTTACTCGTATCTGCTATATCACAATCGCTGTGGTAGCGCATGCTGAATCCAAACGCATTAAACGACATTATAAAGCCATATTCAAAAAAGGCCAGCCGGAGCGTACGGTCATTCAGCTCGAATGACAGGCACAATTCAGCTGACCCCAGCTGGCGGCAAAGAAACAGAAAATTACAATAGTACAATCCGTCGTAACTCATCAAACATCCGAAATATACAGTCAAAATAATCAACCACAATGGTTAATGCCCCCCATAGGGGTCTTGATAGGTTGAGTACCCTCCCGGCCCCGGAGCCTGGCCCCAGCCCGACATCTGCATGCGCAGTCGGCGATCTATAACAAGCTATTAGTTCTGGTCATCACACACATTGGAGTTGACTTACCCTTTTCAAAGTCTCGCCACCGCTTCATTGTGATCTTGCTGCTGTCAAACTCTCCTTCCCCTGCTTCGTGCCCCTTGTCCTTCCCTTCGGACGTCTGCCGCGTGTCGCCCCAGCTGAAGTCGTCAAACTTCCAGTACGAGTACGTTGGTAGTACAAAGTTCCACACTGGCAAGGATAGCAAATATATAAACATCCACAGCACATACACAAACTTGTGCGCCGTTACCACAATCAACACTCCCGGCAATCCCAGGATCAGAGCAAGCAGTACCAGCGGAATCACTTGTACTGGCCTGTGCACGATCGAGTTTATGACCACGTAAAAGGTAAAAGCAATGGCTGCCGGAAGCACGAGCGTGCCAATCAACTCAATGAAGATGCAGAACTGCATACTGAAGCAAAATGTCCCGCACAAGTCTCGTACCAGGACCAGCTCCATCAAGTTGTGCACGGTACTGTTGATCCAGCGTCGTCGCTGTGAGAGTAGAACCATGAATTTGTCCGGCACCTGCGTCTTGCAGACAGCCTGGGGCACAAAAATCTGCTTTCGCTTGGGAAAGGTACGTAGCATCAGTGTCGATAAATACCGATCTTCACCTAGCAGAAGCAAATTCTTCTTGTGCAGCGTATCGACCACATTCTCCGAGTAATGCTCCACCACATCAGGACTCGCCAGAATCGGAACCCAATAGTTCTGACCACCCTTTGGTGCTTTGATCCGATACATCGAGAAGCACCCGGGAAGACACGTAACACCACCAAACACCGATTCAAAGGCCTTGGCTTGATGATGCGAGATGAAATACCTGCTTGTATTAGTCTTGCCACAAGACAAAAGTGGAGGATACATACTCAAACACTTGGATCATCGTCACCCAGCTGTCTGTCTTGTTGGCAATCTTCGTTTCACCACACAGTCCCATTACCTCCGGATCCTTGACCATCGCAGCAATCATATGGGTCAAACTGTCGGGGAACACCTTGGTGTCGGCATCGACCATGAGAATGACTTCATAGAAATCAGGAGAGATGCCGGTCACCTGCCATAAGCCGTTGAACATTTCGTATTCAAGTTCTGTCATCCGTTCGTCGAACATGACCTTTTGGAGGAAGGACATCAGAATGATCTGACTGTCTCGCTTGCCCCGATTTCCCGGCTTTGACTTGTTTGCTTCGGATGGAGTGCCGCTTTTTACAATAACCATCATCGGGACGCGCTGCTGTTTTTCCTCTGAAATAACGGAGTCCACGCCGTAATCATAAAACCCGGCATACACCTTTGCCATGTTGTGACGCTTCGACCCGGTGGCAACGGCAACATATGAGAATGACTTCACTTCATCCTTGGGGATGATGGGATCTTTCATCATTCCTAGGACAATCTCTGGGGTGGAGAACTCCTCACCCTTTCCTTTGATCATTCCATCGCAGATCACGAGGATAGTCTTATGGCTGTTCGGATAATCGGTCATGGCGATGGAGTCCAATGTAGTGCGGATGCCCTCTTCACCTTCCGAGTAACAGGTTACCAGGCAGAGTGAGTGGGCGAGAGGAAACCCGTAGGGTTGCCATTCCGGCGGTGGCTGCGGGATCACACCCTCGTGGACATACCCGCCCATCCCCGGAGCTTCTGATTCGAGCATGGCAGTTGAGTACCGTGAGTCCTGTCCGGGAAGGGCCAGACTTGATCGACTGGCTGATCCATTGTGGCGTGAGCCATCGGGCCCGATGCTCCCCCCGCTACTGTTGTGGCTTTGCTTGTACATCGAGTTGGTGGCACCTGGCACTAGGCGTGTTGTTGAATTTTGGCTCGCCATCGTGACGTACTGATGTTTCTGCTTGCCTCCGTTGCTCACAGTGTACGGGCTGGAGAAGCGAGAGGTAGTCGGCAGGAAGCTTGCCCGTTTGGTGCCCCTTTCCACCATACTGTAATCCGTCATGCGCGGACCAGGTCGATAAATATCGTTGGCCCAGTCCTCGATTTGCTGGTTCCGTGTCTTGGAGTCGGAGCCCATACTGGTCCTGGGTGCAGCGTAGCGAGCGGAGATAAACCACTGGAAGAGCAGAGCGAAAATGAACTTTACCACAACGATGGACAAGATGAAAATCAACGAGACGTATAGGACGACCTTTGATGCGATACATCCAACCGTATCAGTGTCTATACTGCCGACCTTGATGATCTGCGACAGACACTGGCCGATCCTCTTTTCCTGGCCCGTTTGCAGATAGTACGTGAGGTCGACCCCACGGACCTTGGAATTCTCGCGAAGCTCATCGAATTTTGATGGCCAGTTCACCTGAGATGCGTTGAACCATTCCAAAAGATCCAGATCGAGTACGTCGCCATCGTAAACGGCAAGGTTTCGGCTCGTATTTTTGGTGTCATCCCACGTGAAGTACACGTCTCCGGCGCTGTTCAAGTTATAAAAGGCTTTCCGAGCCGTCCCCGACGTATGACAGGCCCAGCCAAGGTAGTAATCCACCGTCTTGTTCGGCTTGGACGACCCATCTTGATTGAAAGCGTGACAGGGAAAGTACCAGGCGAGGTCGCCGGCTGAATTGGTAGGCACATCCGATCCGTCGGCAAGGGTGATTAGATTCTTGCACGCCCCATTGACTTCTTGGAAGAAGAAACTTCCGTCCTGTCCTCCGTACTTGTGGGGCAGATCCCAGAGGACATTGGAACCGGCAGGGATACCAGCAGCGGCCGGGTGAGTGGAGTGGGATAGATCGTAGGCCTTGCCGTGGAAGATCATGTAGTTGCTACTGACCTCATTAATCCTCAGGCGTGTGGGAGGGGTTCCGCACACGGTCGCTGTGAATCCAAACGTCAGAAAACCAACGAATGCTCCGACGAGTAGAATGAGACTGATGAGGCCAATCTTCTCTCGCCAGGCACTCCGCTGGGCTTTCTTGGGCATTCCAAAGCACTTCAAGATGAAGTCGGGAGCCCAGAAGGTAATAATCGCGCAGTATGTTGTCCACGGGCTGGGTGGCCGAACTTGTTCCAAGGCCTCCTGGCGCTTCCTCTCCGCTGCCGCTGCTCTTCGGGTAATCTTGCGTGATGATCGCCGTTTCTTGATGCGACGTCGATTTGGAAGGCGTTCTAGGGGCTGGTTGATATTTCCCTCCGTCACATACACCCTATCCTTTCCTTTGTAGTCCATGCTCTGCGAGCTGTTTGTCTCCGCCTCCCCGTCTGCTCCCATTAGGGGCTCATCCCCGGTCGTCGATGGCTGCGTGGGCATATTCTGAGATTTCTGGCGATAATGATAGTGCGGATGGTTATGGTCGACCCGACTGCGTTCCGGCTTCGATAGAGTCTTCTTGTGTCTTGATTCTGCGCCCACTTCTCCCCTCTCTTCGTCCACGTCGTCGCGTCTTCGGGAGCTGCGTGAGCGGTGATGGCGATGGTGCCGGTGCCCTGATGGGGATTCGGCCGATGAATCATGGTAGCGGCCGCTCTCGTGGGTGCGATGCCGTCGGCGGGAGGACTCTCGAAAAGAGGAGTAGGTATCTTCTCGTCGCGGGGAGGCTTTCCCCGGACGCTGAGGTAGAGACATAGCCTGCAGGACGGGAATGTCGTAAGTTAGCAATGGTGTCTTTGCGCAGGCAATAGTTGTATTTTCTAGACTCGATGATCCATCTCATGAATAGCTCGATGCCACCGATGTGTAGATAATCGCACTGGGGTGAGTCGACTCACCTTTTTCTATCGCATAGGCAAGAAGAGGGTGGGCGAATTGATCGCGCGGTGGGTGGACTAGAATGCAGTGATTCAAGCGACTGAACGATTGACAGAGGTAGAGTAACGGGTGAGAATATCGGTTGAACAGCCTCGTATAATTGCGCGCAGCTGAGTGGCCGGTTCCTGGAAATGCTCCCACAACCGCAGAGAAGAAACGAATGCGAACAGGGAGATCCCAGTGCGGTAGATGAGCAAGATGCGAGGAAGCGCTAGCTACCAAACCCCCTGCCAAGGCGAGATGTGGATGGTTTTAGTAGCGCACAAAGGATAAATGAGGGCGCGATGGATGAAGAGAGGAAAGGAAGGGGAAATAGTGCGGGCGCGAGTGGTCAAAGAGAGGATACTAATACTAGTCGAGCGGCGGAGATGGACCCGGACCCGGCCTGAGATGGTTCGAGGTGCACTAAGCGTCTTTAACACCCAATAGTAATGCCACCTTAACTTGATTAGTCGGAGCCGGCGAAGTTCTTTTGATGACTAGATAGGAATAGGCGTGGATGCGACGATAGCTGATCAACGAGGACTCCAGTCTGAGGATCTGCACCGGAACTAGAGGGTCAGGAGGGGGTGGGGAGAGGAAGTCGTGGTGCCAGGCCGGGCAATGGGTTGGAAAGCGGAATGGAAAGAGACAGAAGAGAAAAAGACGAAAGAGTCAATGCTCGACAGATGATGAGGGGGGAACCGATGCTGAAACTGGGACTATCACGGGGTGTGGCCGCTTATCGTCGCCAAGACCCCAGCAAGTGTTAGTCTGAGTGTGGTGGGATGCCAATGTAATAATGTCCGGGGGAGGCAGGAATGCAGAGTCCGATCGGTATGTGAAACTGAATCGTGCTATCAGTGAGTGCATGAAGTGATCTAGATCAGGGCAATCTTGTAGTTGACCAAGGATGTATTCCATACACTCACTGCTTGGAAGCAGCTCACTCAGTAGAAAGCCTGGGGTAAATGACGAGGGCTCGGGTGTGTACACAAATAATTGCCCGCCCACGGGACAGCGTCGCTAGGGGCAATCAGCTTGTAGTCAAGTCACTAGTCAGAGTGCCGACTGGTCTGGCCCGGACCCTGACTAGCTGCTTTGGGGTTAGTGCCAGTCCGGACTCCGAGACATGCCTATTGCCTACAGTATGTGGGAAAATTTCCCTAATTCTCCTCTCCACATGATGCAATCATTTCACTTTCTTTCTTTCTTTCTTTTTCACTCCGATCAAATACCTCTCACTACTTCGTAGTTATCTTGCATTTAATATAAATGAAAGCTCGAGGGTTACCGGGATATAATACATATATATTCCCTCTACTAAAAAGCAACTAGCGGAATATGGGAATAGAGTTTATATCTTAGAGAATCAGAATACTATTAATAGCAGTATGTGATGTTGTTGTAACTTTTGCACTTGCAGCCCAAAGGTGTGGCCTGAAAATAACTCAAAATGTTCCAAGGTGTGCTGTAAGCCTTGGTTCCTGGCTTGCTACTTGCTAGGTTTTAAATGGCTGACCCTCCAGCTCGGTGAATCATTTTTGCGCCCCGCGATTGTCGGTGGACCGTTGTTATCGGCATCATGCAGGTAACGGCCGTGGAGTCTTAACATAATAAACCTATACTTTGTCATGTACCATAAGCCACAAAAGCCCATGACGGTAATACGCTGCAACTACCCAGAGGATAAGGTAGCCGCACGTATAGATCTGGGGGATAAGATTACTGATTATGATTCGCTCATATCAGACCCGCAGGCGGTCCGCTACGTCGCCGAACTCATGCTGCAAACAGGCTTGCTCGGGCAGTTCAGTCAGGTCGACCTCGACCCTGACCCCGACCTAGGCCAGGAACACGTAGGCCTCAGGGCCATGGGGATAGGCGCTGAAGACGCTGGGTAGAAGGAACAAACACGCCCCGTTTGAGTCAGCGGGGAGGGCACGCATATCAGATAGAACGTGCATGTTGGAAGCAGGAACGTGGACAAAGAACGGAGAGGATGGGCTCGCAGGCAACTGGCCAACCAGTTGCGACACTCGTTTATATCTACTCTTGTATGACTACGCTTTGCCTTTGTGTTGTATTTAGTTGTGTTGAGCTACGGCGACGACCTTCCTACGTCGTAGCATGCGTTGCTTTACGTGTTTACTGCGAGTTTGAGGGATTTGACGGCGTTCGGGGCCATATTCTTTGCCTCAAACGGTGAAGCACCTGCATAGCTAGCATCTTACTTAGCGGGCTCGATCAGGTATAAGAATATGAATTGAATTGAATTGAATTGAATTGAATTGAATTGAATTGAATTGAATTGAATTGAATTGAATTGAATTGAATAAATTATCAGAAAAATGAAAGACCTGGTTCTTAGGTTAGACGTTATGGTTAGTAATCTTATCTTGTATGATTACTGATATCTAAATTAGTTAATTTCTTAATCCGAAGTACAGTGATTTGTTTATTTAGTTGTGGTGATGAAGTCTTTCTAGCTTATTGGAATATTCTCTGTCCCTAATCAAAGTATTTTAAGGTTGCTTGTAGTAGTTGCTTTAAGGTGAGATATTTGTTATACTCCAGTTCTTTTCGGGTGTAATCATGAAATTGATATAGAAACTTGTAGGAAAGCAATGGTGAGATCATTATCGAGAATTGCAATCCTGTGCTTATCAAAAAGACACTCAAATTCTTGTACACGGGCGACTATACTTATGACGGTACTCCAATTACAGTCTCTTGCACAATTACCATGCCTACCCCAGAGTCTCCAAATTCTTTTCTAATCCCTAGCCTTAGTACACTAGACTGTATAGGGTTAGGTGGGCATGGTACAGCTCTTGGCACTAATGTACACGTTTCGTAACTTTAATAACCTTACTTTTTTACCTTACAGTAGTACACGTAAGAGGAATACCCCATGCTAGAAACTTCTGTGTCCAGGCAATGCTCCAACAGGGGCTCCTCTCTCTTGCTTTTTGACTTTTCTCTTCAAAAATACTGTCAAGTTGCTATACTGTCAAAGGTAGTACAGTGATGGTACCACACCTATCGCCATCAAAGATCCAGCTTATATGCTCTATGACGGGTTGCGGCATGTCTATCTCGAAAACCGCTAAAGCTGCCGAATGCAGTAAGCAGGCGGTCAAATATATCCGCTCCAACCTGCAGGTCTTCGGCTCTCCTAGAGCACCGCCAACTCGAGTTGGCCGAGCAAGATTAACCACACCGGTCATGCTGGAAGTACTATGCGAACGCCTTCTCGAAAAGCCTCGCTTGTACACTCTATCCGGAAATCGCCTTTACCACCTATACTCTTCCATTGAATCCCAAACCCTAATGCCAAGATGCGCTAACCATATTAGAAATGAATAATAGGAAGAACTATGTTCCTGTTAATTGCAACTCTGTCATTCAGTACTGTTTAACTCTTCGATCGAAACGAAACAATAACTGGTTGCATTAAACGAATTGCACTAAACGGAATGGTTGAACTAGCTAAGTAAGGATCCTGGAGGGGAGAGGGGACCAGCGGGAACCCCTATTCCTCTTGCCACCCTGCCCAAATCGGCAGGTGCCTGCCGCCTCCGTTACTAGGAAAGCGCCCGACAGTACGTAGATCTTGTATCGCTGTATATTAGTGAATTACGGGTAGAACTAAAAGGTTCTGTGCGAACCAGTCAAACATCAACCACATCATGGATCGAGAGCGTATTTAGATTTGTCTAGTCCACGTCCATTTCCATATATACCATAGTACATTCTTTTCTGCAATCCCACATTCCTACTGGGACAGTCCCACTCCACGCGGTGCTGAAACCTCTTCTTTGATAATATGCCTCGTTGCCTAGTTCCCTGATAGCCATCAATACTAACTTCGATTTGGCTGTGTCGTGGATCTTTTCTTCAGGCGTTCTTATCTTTACGCCTGCCATAATTTCCTTCTGTCGATTGAGGTCAATTCCTTGAAGCGGGATGGTGGTCGCTGAGCCTGACAGTCCTAGCCCATGGATCAGAGCTGTATTCTTTGCAGTGATATTTCGCAGCCTCGGACTGTTTGCATCATCACTGGCCACCAACCACTTGATTTCCCTCAACACTTGAGCGCCCAAACCAGCAGCCTGACAATGCGGCGACACAGCAAACGCGGTGACTTCGAACTTTTGCACTTCTTCTGCTCTCCGCTCAGTCGTTCCACCACTGCGTCCTCGGTTTTCCCCCTGAGATTCCCATTCACTGCCGCTCCGATTCTTGCTCCATTGCGCGTATGTTTCAACCTCCCCTTCACCAAAATCTTTCACACTACCCGTTGCAAGCACTTCGCAGAGTTGTGGCTGTTGACCTGCTCCATCCGATGTGACACGGACCAGGACAATGGTGAAGCCGTCAGCGCCAATAATATCTGCTAGTTGTGCCGGATCTGCCATGCGAAGATGACTGGTCCCAAAGATTTCGGGATGTGTACAATATGTTGCAGTATACGAGTCATTCAGGACCTTCTGGATGGCTTTTAGGAGAGGAAGGTTGGACGGGGTGGGCGTGACATGTTCCGGGAGCAGTAAAATTGGAAGAATAGCATGCATTTTGAATCTTCTTGGGGGAGATGAGCATATAGTGGTTAATTTGGAAGATTTCGTTTGTGTGTATAGAGGACGATGCAGGATAAGAGAAATGGATTCATTTTAAATGAATGAGACGTCCCTTATCTCGTAAGGCGGGGGTGTGTTCGGTCCAAAGCTTATCCGTAGGGCGGCATTTCTTATCCGATACCGAGAGCTATACAAGGAAAGCCTCGCTCTAACACCGCTAGAGACGTTTTCTTAGGCGAGATATTGACGTTGCACCATGACCGGGACGTCACGCTAACTGTTGACTGTTGACGTATCTGTTGCTCTCGGGGACGTGTTACTGTCGCTATGCTGTTTATTAAAGTACATTCATCGCACAGCCGCCTTTCTCAGTTCGAAGCTACACAGATCTAATTCGTAGCTAGGGAAAAAGTGAGGGTTTCGGAATAAGCCCCTAATTCCGAAGCAGTTCCTGACTTGCCGCATGTGATAAGCTTTGTATTGGCAGGCAATCTGAAACTTAATATACTGGGAAGGAAAAGGAGACACTGTGGAAAGCGTGACGCGATAACACAAAGACAAGTGATAAGCAGAATACAAACAGAATAAACAGGCATCACACATGCCAAGCCTCCGTCCAACATAAACCATTACTGGAGCATCACAACTGTTCAAGCCATTCACGGATGTCATTCACAAAACGACGGGCAACGCCGACTTTCACCCCATTACTAATGAAGAACTCCGGATCCTTGTCCTCATGGATCTGCCTGAGATCTAGTCCGTTCGTTAAGGCTAAAGCACAGGCCTTCTCGATATCATCCTTAAGCGCGTGCGAGTCGACTCTTGACTGCTGCCAGCAACTGTACTCTTTCACTGTAGTATCTAATGGAAGATCCGGGATCAGAAGTGTGTCGACCATGTCTGGAGTTGAATGTGGCAACGTAGGTGGGGTATCAGCTGGGGTGGCGGGTGCTGGTGGCTGAGGGGAGTGTGGCAGAAAATTGATATTGATTGGGAGACCTGATCCTTGGGACTGGGGGCTTTTTGTCATTTTATATTGTCTTTCTTGCCACTGTTGATCTTCGGCGTAGAGTTCATCCCGAATCTCAATAGGTATATCATCGTGGGTGTCAAAGGTATGACCCCTCTCTACTAAACAAGCCGGGAGTTTAACATGATGAATCAAAAGCCTGTAATGCTTCTTTCCGACGGAATCCTGCCAGCAGTACCCGTTTCAATTCCGACATGGAGGTCCCGGACAACGTATCTTTCTAAATACGTCCCGCCAAGCGGAAGCTTGTCCGGACACGTTCTCACCATTAATTTGAGCATCTGGCTCAGCGAGCATCCGTTTCGTCACCGACGTTGCAGCTCTTTTTTTCTCCGCTTCTTAGCGAAGCGGCGTTGCTGTCCTCTGTATAATTAATGGATACTTGTAGTTTGATCTGTTTGTTGAGGCGGAATAAATTACTCCATATCAGGAGCTGCTTTTCTATAACTGTCCAACTAATATTAGTGCTTTCATCTTGTTGACGGAGATCCTGCTGGGTCCGGTCCCTAACGGACGCCACAACAGTTATATCATCCATTCCGACCCTTCGGGTATGATCCACTTTATGATTCTTGAACTTTTCTGCCGCATCTTTCAGATAACTTTGCCAAAACTCACTTCGCCTGACTACTCTTGCCGTTGAGTGTCACTTTCCAATCGATCCGATAATGCTTATATACAGGAGACTGCTCTTTGTACACTCGTTCCTCTTCCCAGTCTGTGAATGGGAGGAATTGTGAAAGGTGTAGGTACAAGTATTAATTACAAAAGCGGTCTGATACCTGCAAACAGGATATGTCACGGTCGAAATAACAGGCATTATTACGAGCTTTATCTAATAATCTTACCATGGATGCGTCACGGACACAGGCCTAATTAGTAGAGTTAAGTAGATGCTAATGTTGAGTAAGTGCAATATTCTACAGATGAAAACTCTGTCTCTCAGTCTCCAGCAATTGTGAAGCTTTGAACGTAGGAGGGATGACCCATATGGTGATTGTAATTCCTTTTCTTTTCTAATTTTGTACCTACGATGAGGCTCAAGCGGTGTTTATGTTATTTACTGTAAGTCTTCAATGTTGGGACACATATCTTTCTATCGCCTGGATAACTATTAGACGCGATATATTGTTTTTAGTCGAGTGGTTAGTGCGTTGACAGATCTTCGTGATACTAGATACTATGCCTAGCAAGTCAGTCAAAAGCTACCCCAATATCAAATATGTAGTTCACAAATCTAAATTCCACGCCTGAAGACTCAAGTCATTTTTTTATATGTAAGTATTCAGCCCCATAACTGGTCAACAACACAAGGCATGTCGGTGAATATGGTGTAAGTCCCGCCCCTGTGACGGTCACCTAACCATTCCTAGCTTCCTAACTAGTATGATTGAACCATCATGTAGCTAGCCTATATACCTGTCCTCCTCCTTCTTCTCTCCTTCTTTATCATCATCATTATCATCGCCATATGAGCCTCCCCATGTATTCATTTCTACAAGACATGACTTCTAGTCCAAAACTCTGTATAGTTCAACAGAGAACACAAGAAGCAGGATAACATCAACCAATGCTGACACAATCATGGATAATAACTCTCATAACATTTTCTGGCCCAGCCCTTGATATATGCACAAATAAATTACTGACCTCATACCGCAACAACAGCGCAGTTATATCATGGATTTATACAGTCTAAACCTCCTTCTCCCCAACACCCAGCTCAACACTAACTGCAACCCATTCACATACCTTGCCCCCAGCATCATCACATGCTTCCCCTCGCACTGATGCACTACTATATCCTTCCTCGACAACACTTTCCACTGCCCCAAAACCTCTCCACCTACAGCAGTCGATCATCCGTAACCGTCAGCAACGGATCCATCGCAAACACATCCACAGAAAGATTCAATTTCATACGGACTGCGAATCTGAGAACTCGGTTACATTTTCTACGTGGATAATTCATGGAAAATATCGGATTGCCTGACCACTAGTATATACAGTTATCCACACTGTAATATGATCTTCTACTACGTGTGTTACTTCAGAGCACAATAGTTTGGCCCCCACTAACAGGCCTGATTAGTGGCTGCAGCTTACACACTAACCACACTTAACTGATGACTGCTACTCGAAATATTCAGGGTACATGGTAACTACAATCAGAAAGATATAAAGAGTAGGGGTTCTGGAGTTGTCCCACTGAAGGCTTACTCCGCGTAGATTTTGTGCAAGGATACTATGCTTTGATTGTTTTCTTCTTCCTTGTCCGTTTTCGGCTTCCTTCCCGTCGTGGTTCAACAAGCATAAACAGACCGAACGTTATCGATCTACCCCACAACAAACCTCAGTTTCCATGCGCCAGCATATCACAAAACGCATGAAATGCCTCTTCGAACTCGTTACTTTCTGACACCCACTCCACCTCGCCTTCATACTCGAATGGCTCCTGCGCCTGACCGTTCACGATGGGAAACAGGCGCATGTCCAGTCCTCGAAACACGACCACGGCCCCCAAGCGGTCCGCGGGCAGTTCAGGGTTGGCCTCAAGCTCCACCCACCATTGGGCCTCAGCACAAGCTGGGGCTAAGTCCCACTCGCCGTTCCAACCGGGTGCGTTGAGGTCAGCGTAGGACATGGGGATGCTGCGGTTATCGTTGTCGCTGTGGCCGTTGATGAGGCCATTGAGGTAGGGAATGGACATGATGCTGATTGTTTCAGGGGGTTGTTAATGGTGGGTTAGGGGTTTGGCCGTAAATGAAACAGTAACAGTGATGATTGAAGTGGCGGCAAAGCAATCTTTGGAAGGAGTGAAGTAGTATATAAACAATCCTATCGAGGTGAAATGCTTTTGTGGGTTGGGTTTTGAGGATGGTTCCGGCTTTTTGATGGTACTCGAAATAGACTTGACGGTTGGGGTTTGATAAGAAAGAAACAAATACAGGAGATGGCCCCAAACATAGTGTGATTTTCGGAGACGTTGATATAGATACTTCAATATACCGGAGAGCTGCGAACAGGAATCAAGGATATTATCATGCAGGTGTTACTGATACTGCAGGAATAATCCACTGGCTAGCAATCTCGACAAACTGTACATGTACCATGCAGCACCTAAGTGGTAGGTGAGAGGTAAATACCATGGAGGAAAGGTAGAATACTACGTTATGTCTGATATATTGAATGGTTTGATTGTTTTGAGTTCGTCATCTTACTCCTTCGGCTGCTTCCACGGATATGAGGTTTTCTCGTCATCGTCCTATCTTCCTCTGGCCAGGGAAGTTTCTCCTCTTTGGAGCGATGAGTTAAATATCTTGGAGTTCAATTTCAAGGAAGTATCGTATGATGAAGAGGATAATCTAGATGACTATATGGAGGGTTTAAATTCTACGGCATCCCCTGAAGTTGAGGAGGGAGACTCTATGGAGCGTGAGTTCATTGATATAGATTGAGCGAGACACCATGGTGTTTTTCTTCAACTTATAGAAGATCCGTACATAATAGAAGTCTCTAGAAAAGATGGTATGCAATAAACAATTTATTTACATGAGGGATTAACCTAGCCAATACACTTCATTCTCAGTATCATTTAAAGCCCAATCTCAACTTCTAAGATGGGGTATTTGGACCGGGACCAACCCAAGGGGTCCAGTAGAGCAATTTTCGCATGTACCGCACCACTGATGTGCATGGGGAGAAGGCATCATCTGCACAGAAATCTCGGAATTTAATTGTAAACACGGACATCACAGAAATTAACATACACGAAACATCCTAGCCACAGGAAACTCCTCTTGGTAGACTAATCGTGACCTTAATCCGCCGCGGCTGTAACATCATACTCGCTGACGTATTCGATTACTTCCTACCTCCTTTCCCCGAAGCATCTCTTCACTCAGTTCGCTACTGCTGTAAGCGACATTCTCCTGGTTGCTTCCTTGTGAGTCATAGACTCGGATCAAATACTCTGCATTTTAAATCATCTATCCGAACACACTCTCATACTCTATCTGGCTAGCAACCGGCCTCCGGAGTATAATCTAGTTTCCACAAGCACGGGTGTGGCCACGAGAAGCGAGTGATGAGATGCCTCTGGTCAATCGTAGATTCTATGCCTTCTTTGAGGTGCATACGAACATTCGGATGCTATGGGAGGTCGTTTCCCGGTGGGATGCCAGTGGAAGATGTGGCGGGTAGTCAAGAAAGGAACAGGCTGAAAAGACTAACGATATTGTAAAACAAAAAAGGCAGAGCAACGAAAGAGATCGAAGTGAGCCAAGACACTTAAGAGACGGGGAAAATTGAAGAGACGAAGCGAACGCGAGCAGCTAGTAAGAGGAGAAAACTATAGGTAACCTTATTACCTAGCATGGATGGCTCAGTCGTCTGCAGAAGTCCCTCCTCAGGCTTTCTGTATTATATGAGATAGACAGATTTGGGATTGAATCATCAGTATTGAATAGTGAAATTCAATCAGATGTAGACAGTGCTGCTATACTCATTTGATTTGGCTATTCCCAGTACCTACCAAGCGGCTGAGAGGGGCAGAAAGTGGAAACATCCGAACAAAGAAAAGCGGAGGCAGAGCTGTTCGGTGAATCCAACGAAAGGACAACCACTCGCTGCATGCATCTGTGCACTTACTCACTTGCGATGGCTCAGTCCTTCTAGTCTTCAGTTATATAATGCCGCTTCTATGGCATAGGAATGGCGATTGCTGATATATGTCCTCAGCCAGCGTGGCACTACTTCAAGAGAGTAAACTCACATACTATCAATTAAGTCATCATGCTAGTCAAACCACACAAGTTTTCCCTCGAAAATACCTCGCCGATAATGCTCGGGTCCAAAGGCTGGAGTAGCCTTGTTTCGTGTGTTTTAGTCACAGTATGTATAAGCCCTGCTATTGTGGCACCATCTTTGGCCAAAGATGCCCAGATGCCCCTTAACCCTCATAGGGGTTCGATATTGCAGTGGAAAGACTGCGGTGAAGCTAACAACCATACTCTCCAATGTAAGTATGCAGATGTCTTTTGGCCTGTTATAAATGGCGTTGACGCGACAGGAAGGTTCCCGACTGGATGTTCCCATGGATCATTTTAGCCAACAGTCCGACAAGGCTTTCTCGATACCTATCATTAGAATGCTAGCCAAGAATGCATCTGCAACCGGAGATAGACATATCTTCCTGAACCCCGGGGGACCTGGAGGTACGTTGAGAGTCCAGGTAGCGTGGCATTTACTGACATATTGCAGCCAGTGGAGTGGGCTTTCTGCGGGGATCTGCATCCGATCTCAATAAGCTCATTGGGGAAGACTTCCACTTACTCAGTTTCGACCCTCGTGGCGTAAGTGGATCAATGCCGAAAGCTGTTTGCTACGCAAGCAACGCCGAACGCACTGCCGCGTTCGCCAGCAACCCTTGGGACCTTCAGTTCCAAGCCGGCGAGATGTACACCAGGGCCGAGAATAAAGCAAATGCTTGTGAAGATATGATGGGCGAATATGGGAGATACATAAACACCCCACAGATAGCTGCTGATATGGACTTGATTCTTGACGCGATCGGACAGCAGAAGATGTTTTATTGGGGACTTAGTTGTACGTACTTTTCTGTTCTCCGGGCGAGGTTAATAAAATAACAGGCGCATAGATGGAACCACACTCGGTCAGACATATGCGCAAATTTTCCCAGAGCGGGTCTCCCGAATGGTACTTGACGGCATCAGTGATCTGGATGAATGGTACAATTCCTTTTTATTCGAAGAGTACTTAACCGACACAGACAAAATCTTCACCGGCTTTGTAGAAGAATGTTTCAAAGCTAAAGAAGCTTGCCCGTTGCGCTCAATCAAGGGAGAGCAATCGAGGTCGCCTAGCCAACTTCAGTCCCATATTGTTAGCTTCTTGCGCGAGCTTGAAGAAGAGCCAATTCCCGTTTACTTAAATAGCACGAGTTATGGTGCAATCACTCGACGAAGTCTAGTACGCAACGGAATATTATTCGCCCTATACAAGCCATCAACTTGGCCTGCCTTTGCACACAACTTGGTTGAGCTACTTAACGGCAACACGACCCCTGCTTACAACGCATACTCCGAGTCATGGGTTCTCAAGTATCTCGTCGATGATTCCACTACCTTCATTGGTTTGAATGATAACCGAAAAAGCGGGAAGGATGCCCCAGTACATGGTATTAAGCCGATCTACAATTATGTTAGTTCCAGAACGGAAATGTCCTTTTTGGTATCAAAGTATCAAGGATCTGATATCTATGACCGAGCCTCGTGGTCGCTTCCCACAACCCATGGCTTCCACCCTCGGTGCTATCCTGGGTCTCCCCGGGTGAAAACAGCTGAGCCAATACTGATATTGTCGACTACCTGGGATCCTGTGTGTCCGTTAATATCTGCAAAGAAAGCTCAGAACAGCTTTGAAGGCGCTCGCCTTGTGCAGCAGATATCGTATGGCCACTGTACTCTCAGCATGCCTTCATTATGTACCGTTGGACATCTGAGGCGGTATCTCAATGAAGGAGTACTACCGGAGCCCGAAGCAACGTAAAATACAACTCCTATCACAATTTCCTAACATATACTAACGGTGTAAACAGGTGTGGCATTGATGCTGACTATTTCCCATCTGCTCGGGGATCTGCAGTATCTACTTTGAGCGTGGAAGAGGAGGATTTGCTCGGTAGTCTTCATGAATTAGCGACTAAAGGTGTCTTCCTTATTAAAGGCCAAGTGTAAGGGCGAAGCAGAATCCCAAAGTCGAAGGCATTGGTTCCTTTGCTCAGTGTCAGCTATAGTTCTTGACACTCAGTGAGAGAGACCTCTCAACACATAGTGTGGCGGTTCGGCTCATCTGGTGGACAAGACTTATCGGTGATTCTCACACTAACATTGAGAAGATGATTGAACTGGTTTCTCCTTGCCGAGTCAGAATGGTGCGGTATATACATTTGAGTAATATCACACACGATACCTTTATGTATGAGGACAAGCTAGGGATCAGCTTGGTTGGTGCATTATGCGGTCTCAGATTCCAACCTAGGAATGAATTCAATCCCGGGATATGGCTGGTGTCTCAAAGGGTTGCACCCACAGCAAAGTTGTGCTGGCTGTCGAATGTAGTAGGCGTCCCATGCAACCACCAATGAAGGCCTTGGAGTATCAGGAGCCTTCGAGCGGCAATATTCTCCTTTCAGTATCCGTTGGAGTCCGAATGAATGCCTGACTGGGATATCCCGCAATCATTGCCATTCCCTATTCCATAGGACGCTTCTTCCATCGTGCCATACGCAGGAAATTAGGCAGTTCGTTCGAGTGAATGGCCTTTGGTGACCCTTGACGACACCACCAAAAGCCACAGGCTGTATATGAAGATATGCGGTCATCGACTCATCTTTGTATCGCTCCATCAGCCAAACACCGATCATTCAGAAGCAGTCTGCCCGGCACTCTCCTCAGCTAACTGCTTCAACGACCTCTTCTCCTTCTCAATACCATTCCGTCTCTGGGCAACATCACAAAGCTCAACATTTCCACACTCACACTCCCCATTCCTAAGCCACCGATACGTAAGACTCCACCTATCCTCCCTCAGCCTCACCGAGCCATCGGGTAAGGTATCTGTCTTCCGCTTCTTGATCCCATGCGTCCAATGAAGCCTCGCATCCCCAACCATCGCCATCATCGTCCGCGGGGTCAAATCCACATCGATCCGCTCCTCCGTCTTGCCCTTCCGGAACTGCATCAAGACCGGCGCACCCAGCGACAGCGCATACAGCTGATCCCACGCCAGGTGCGCATCTACATGAGGTGGGATGCCACTTCCCGGAGGATAATACTGCAGACAGACCTGATCTGGGGGACGGGACTCCGTCGTGGGAATCAGAGGCTTCAGCCAATCTGGAAACTCCTTATAGGGTATCTCGGGGTCTACTCCGAAAGTCTTATAATCGAATGTGTAGCCGTAGTGGAGAGATGTGCGCCCGCTGCGGTCGGGCCACTTTAGTTCATGCCGGAAGATGGAGATTAGTTGCTGCTCGTATTCGGGCGTGATAAAGTCTTCTTGCCAGAAGATTCCACGAGGGGTGATGGGCAGCTCTTTCATGCCCATGCTGTGCTATTTGGTCTGCTGGGAGTGTATGCTGGTTATAGATGGTTTATACTCTGTCGGACAATTCTTATTTGGGAAGAATTTTCCCGGCCAGGCCCCGCGGGGTGGAACTAACCGCTTATGGTAGTTGAGGATGGCGGGACCAATCAGATGATAACTATCTGACCTTGTAGTAAGTAGGTACGTAGATATTGAATAACCTATGCTGTTTTCAATTGGTTCAGCGTTCACTCCAGGGTGAATGAGATATAATAGGCCAGGCGCACTTTGTAGATGCTCTGCACAAGATTCGTAAAAGTGTGTGTTGGCTTATCTAAAAAATCAGCCCTCGTTAAAATAGTAAAGCGAGTCATGGTAGCATTCCTAGGCAACTACTAGTAGTAGTATTCGGTTGTACGTACCTATCATGAGCATGTACGGAGTAAGATTATTTAGTATTCTAACTTGCTTTTAGACTGCTGGCTATGCCATCTCATTGACTTAGAGCTATCTTGCATGGATGAAACTGGAATTGGATCCAATCACCTCCCTAAACGCACTTGCCACATACTCAACATTCCCCTCATTCAAACCACAGATGCTCACTCTCCCCGATGGCAAGAGATAGATATGAAATTCCTCTCGCAAGCGAGTGACTTGTTTCTGACTCAGCGCCGTATAGCTAAACATACCAATCTGGCTCTCCAAAACCGACCAATCCCCCGGCGTCCCCTTGCTTTCCAGCCTGCTGCGGAGCTCACGCCGCATGCTCTTTATTCTCGAACTCATAGTACCCAAGTCCCTTAGCCACTGCCCCTTTAACTCTTCATTTCCTAGGACAGTTTTGACAATACTCGCCCCATAGCGAGGCGGATTTGAGTACTCTGCACGAGCGAGACCAAGTAGTTCCGACCGGGCACCCTGGGCGGCGAGGTGCCGAGGCACGACAAGATGGAGAGCACCTACACGCTCGCCGTAGAGTCCAAAGTTTTTAGAAAAAGATTGTGCCACACAGAGGCCTGGATGATCGGGTTCCCCATTGAAAATCAGTTGCTCCACGAAATACCGTATAGACCAGGCATCACCGTTGACATCGCCTGTAGCAAAGCCCTGATAAGCGCTGTCAAAGAGAACGTATAACTTCTTACGCTTCATCACTTCCGCAACTCGGGCCCATTGCTCATGAGTGAGGTCCACACCTGTCGGGTTATGCGCACAGGCTTGCAGAACCACTACATCTCTTTCTTCGGCGGTAGTCTCGAACACTGATAGCATCCCTTCTAGGTCAACGCCTCTTGTTTCTGCAGAGTAGTATGGGTACTCTTCAATGTGGATCCCAACACCAGCCCAAATAGTCTGGTGGTTGATCCATGTTGGCGAGGGGATGTACACCCGCTTTGGACGAAGATGCTGTGCTAGGAAGTGCGCAGCCATATGATTTGCGCCTGTTCCTGAGACTGTTTGGATAGAAGCGATACTCTTGTCTAAATTCTTGGCCATATCGGAGCCAAAGGTAAGGGATTGAGCTAGATTGATAAAGGCCGGCGAGCCTGCGATGCCTAGGTATTCGTGGTTCTGGTCCTCGGCGAGGCGTGCTTTGGCCTGAAATGGAGAAGGGTAGCTTAGTATAATTCAGGGACTATTCAGAGATAAGTGCTACCAACCTCTTTCACACTTGGGAGTACCCAAGGTTGGCCGTTCTCGTCGCGGTATGCCCCTGCTATTAGGGACACCTTGTTTGGGTGCTGGTCGGCATCATACTCTGCCATCAGCCCAAAGGCTGTATCTGCCGGCGCAATAGGTAGGCCAAGGTACTGTTCGGTCATGCTTGGAATCTTGTGAGGCTGATGTTTCCTGTGTCACTGGTAAATTACAGACACTAGTAAGCGATGAAGGGGATGATTGAGGTATCAAGAAGAAAGTGAACTGCTCGATAACATGCTAATATGTCAACTAAATGATCTTCGGCATTATACTCTCGGTCCGGTAACATGTTCACCGGTCTCCCAGGCCAGCTGCCAATGCTGGTGGTCGGCCCAAGGTATTCTTCCCGATGGTTCGGAACCCTCTGTGCCGACTATCGCCGAACTCACATCTACAAAGACCGTATATTTATTGAGCCGAAAACATTCCTCGCGTTGAAACGTTTGACTTCTGCTCTGCGAGAACCCAAAGCGAACAGTCTCAGTGCTGCAGGGTCTGCAGGGCGGGCGGGGAACTTTATTACAGCCCAGCTGAGATAGTTTCGGGACATTGATATGAATCTAGAATCCCTGATATAATGATTTTGCTGACCGGGATTGCTTGATGAATTTATCCTGGCCAATCTTAGCGACGTCTTATGCTGCACTTGAAAGTTGGTTTCGCGGTAATATGCTGGCTATACTTATTATATCTAGAGGTGCACTACATAGTGGATTGAGTTTTTATGTGACTCTATTACAAATATTCGAGAGTGGTTGGGAATCAAGTGAGACCTTTCTGAAAAAGTAAGAAGCAGCAATGAATGAACATAACTATTTGTTGCCTCAAATTGCCCGACCACAGTTTTGCGGTGATGGCCTTAGAACGAGATGTCGGCGCTTATAGTACTTAAGTAGTATAAGACTAACCAAGTTTCTCAATGGCGTGAGCAGGATTATATATGATACGTTGATCGATCCCCAGGACACGGGACAAAATGCCACGTAATCCACAACCAGCCTGGACAGAGGGTGTAGATTTGGCGATACTCTCCCAATACTCCCACTGGTATAGTCCTTTCTGACATATAAGATTAATGGAAAGTTAAGGAAGAGACTCCATACCTTTTTTCTTCCCAGCAAGAGACGAGGTTGCCTACTTGAGTATAGCGGTAAGAACTCAAGTCAGTCAATCAGTCAGTGACCTGTATGGGGCTAGTCCCAAAGTAGTTTAAGTGCAGAATCCTCAAAGTTGCAGGCGGTGGAGATGAGATGGTCCCCTGTCCCTGTGGATTATTAGTTATCGACCCTGCTCGCCTCCACCTGGTTTGCTCTCTTGAGCGCGTTCTAGATCATCCATGATTCTATCCTCACCTGAACAAGTCCTCCTCTACCCTACTCGGTATTCGAGTGACTCCTCTCCTTTCTCCAATCCTGACTGATTCCCCGACCCTGTCGAGTTCATCGCTGGTTGCTGGTTCAACCTCTCCCGTTCTGCGCGGTAGACGCATCTCCTGCCTTTCCTCCGACCGACCGGACGTCTCTTGAGCGCCACCATGTCGTCCTCCGACAATGGCCTCCTATCCCCACCGCCAGTCCATAATATACCTTTGAATGACCTGGAATCCAATCATTCTCGCCGTTTCCCCGCTCCCAATTGGTCCGATCTGACCGACCCCTCGGCTCTCGCTCCTCATGTCAAGCACCACATGGATAACGGCATCGACCGTCTGGACGACTTCTTCACCAAAGTCGCCATCTTCATAACCCCGAGTTACTTGCAACATCATGTTGGCGGCAAGTCGCAGCCCCCGTCTAGACAACATGCGATCGCTGCGTTGGATGGTCTGCGCGGCTGGGCCTGCCTGCTAGTCTTCAACTTCCACTTCCTCTTCACTTATACCTGGAAGGTTGCCGTGGGCTGGGGATTCAACAATGAGAATTTCAGCGTGCTGCAGCTCCCTATCATACACATGCTGGTCTCTGGCCATATCATGGTGGCTATCTTCTTCGTCATATCCGGTTATGTGCTCTCCTACAAGCCACTGAAGTTGATCCGCAGTCGCTCTTGGGAACAGACCTTCACTACCCTAGCCTCATCTACCTTTCGTCGCGCACTCCGCCTCTACATCCCATCTATCGTTGGCATCTTATTGGTTTTTATCGCGGTCCGGTTGGGCGTATACAACTACTCACATAAAGTCCTCGTAGAGGGCCACACCATCCTCGGCACGAACGAACAGCATCCCCCGATCATGCGGTCTTTCTACAAGCAGTACTGGGACTGGTACCTGGCAATCGTTCATCTGATGGATCCTTTTAACTGGGCGCTTTACTACAACTACTACAACCCGCACCTGTGGACCATCCCCGTTGAGTTCCGCAGCTCTATCGTGCTCTTCCTCACCATTCTGGGCACTTCTCGTCTAACAACTGCCGTCCGTATCTCGCTCGTTAGCGGCCTAGTCTGGTTCTGTATGCGCTGGGGCCGTTGGGATATCGTGCTCTTTCTATTCGGCATGCTTATGGCGGAGGCGGATCTCATAAATGGCACCTGGGAGCGACCTGCGAATGAGAGCGAGTCGAAGCCAAGAACTGGGCATCGTCACTTCCTTCCCAAGCAGCAAAATGCCCTTAGACAACTTCTTCCCTTCCGTCTCTCTACCCGCAATCTTTGGATCGGCCTTTTTGTACTCGGTTTGTACTTGGGTTCGGCCCCGAATACTGGCTACAAGTGGACTCCCTTCTACCGTTGGACCTGGGAGATCACTCCCAGAACCTACCCGGAGCCACATCGGTTTCCCCAGACCCTGGGCGCTGTGCTCATTGTGTTCAGCATCAACCACTCCAAGGATCTCCAGAAACTCTTCACCCACCCTCTGTCACAGTACTTGGGCAAGATTTCATTTGCCTTCTACATCGTCCACGGACCCATTCTCCACTCGCTGGGCTACTCTCTCATGCCCAACATCTGGGCCGTCGTTGGTAAGGAGACCAACTTCCAGTACTGCCTGGGTTTCTTGATTGGCTGGCTCATCTGCCTTCCTATCTCCCTTTGGGCTGGTGATGTCTTCTGGCGTGCGGTTGATATTCCTAGCGTGAAGTTCGCCCGTTGGCTGGAAGACAAGCTTATCGTGAAGACGACCAAGCCAGAAATCTCGGGCACTAACTCGCACCGGCAATAGCTGAGTGTATTCAGACGAGGTGTTTGGTCATAGCATAGTACTGCGAAGGTCCCCCCTCCCCAACTTTGTTGTAGGCTCTAGCCATCCATCATCTCTCAGTCACCCCAACCCGCGAAGCGCGCTCGCAATGACCGTATCTTCAAGCTAGTGGGCAACGCCTGCCGTCAAGTGAGGAATCGATTTCTG